AGACGCTATAGAAAGATGAGTTCAATGAGTGCTACGCACCTCTAGGACTGATTGACCCCCCATCGGATGGAGTATGAATTAGACCTGCAGACCTGGTCATTATTGTTCTTGTTGAGTCTCGGGCATCAACATCTATTAAATGACAACTTTAGGCTTCCAGCTGACGGCGACGCTCACGGTTCAACAAGCGAATAGCCTGGCAATGCAGTCTCGTCAAGGGACCCATCTCCATCATTTGGCAAGGGCCTCCCGAAACAAGCCTGTCAAGTGAAGCTGGCGATCTGGATGCTGTAACTCTTATCCTTCTCAGAGCTTGAACCCAATCGCTAGGTTCGAAACCCCAGCAAAAGATGCAGAATGCATCACGATCCATACCGTCGGGTATGGAGGCACTGGGCAAACGGTACCACAGCAGGGTAGGGCAGCAAGGTAAGCAGCCAGCAGCCAGCATCACGACGAGCTGAGGTGACCCAGGCAGTACGCCAACCAGAACTGGGTTAGCGAAGCTGCAGGTGTGGGCTCCCGCGATCCGTGCACAGGTCCCAGGACTGTGGTTGAAGGGCGATCCCCCGGCTTGAACCACCCTCGGTGAAATTGGGTGCCCGACATGCTGGCCGGTATCAGGAACGCTTTCCGGAAGGGATAATGGCAATGTGATAGTAAGCAAGGGGCTAGTGGCGGAAACGAGTCGCAGAATCACAATTGAAGAAAACGACAGATCAGATGTGCCTTTCCGGCCTAGTCCAAATCCGAGTGGATGACGAGTTTTTCAGAAAGCTGGAACAGCCATCAAGACTACCAAGTTCCTTGCCATTGACATTTAGAGGTTGCCAAAGACACTCTGGCTTTCCTTTCAATGATCCAATCAACTTTCCAGAGAGACGGGATTGTAGGTGACACTACCTTAGCCACGGGAGCGGCAAGTCATACGGGCAGCGGGCTATATCCCAGGCTGGGAATAGCTGGGCACAGTAAGGAGACCAACCTCCAGCGCCTCCCGAGTTCCAACCAGGTTCCATCGTTGGTGTTGCGCCGGGATCGATTACTATTGAAACTTCGCCCCGTTCGGGCAGCCATCGGAAGAACATTCAAGGCTTCAAGCACGAGGATGCTCAATCGCCCGCCCATAGGCGTGCCGGCACCTAGAAGGACCGACAAACCCTTCTAGCGGCGAAACACCATCCCGCCATAGTTTGGGCTAGATGGTCGGGGGAGGCGATATGCCGATGGGACGAAAAGAATGCCTAGAATGCCGCTTCTTCTCGACCTGATGCAGGTCAGAAGTGCAATACCGTTGCCCTGGCCACCTTGAGAGGGCTCATTTCCCCCTGGAAAGGGTCTCGTTTCAAAACATCGTCATTGCTGATTTATCAGTGACTGACATTGCCAGGGCTTCATTGGAATACTGGACAATTACGGGCGAAATACCCCGGGCTTTCCAGTCCCGAAGCTGATGACAGCAGCTAACTATTTGCCGCCCCCACGACCTGTCAAACGGCCCCCCCCCCCCCTCCTCCTCCTCCTCCTCCTCCTCCTCCCCCCCTCGTCTTTCTCATATCCTGGTTCGCTGAATTGGCCGCTGCCAAATGTAGTACTGGCGCTGCACAGCGCACCGAGCGCACATGTGTGGCTGGTGACAGGTGCTGGCAGCTAGAGTGCTAGGGGAGCGACGAAGTCCCAATTACGATTACATGCCGCTGGGGCTAAGGTTGGGATATCCAACGGACGACTGAAGTCAAAAATTGGGCCAAATAGGCTTAAACTTCGCCGGATCTCACCTTAGCATTCGACTTGGCGGCTGTCAAGCTCAGAATGGCACAGCTCATCATTATCCATCGTCCTAACGACCCGTCCCGCTCTCTGTGGCTGCTGACTTTCACAGACGGCTTCCAACCGACACATCGTACGAAGTGTTCGGCACCAAGCTTTTTCTGCAACAATTTCCTGTCGTGAGGCAGACATTATGCAATGTTGAAGCTTAACAAGAACACCTGAATTTCAGGGGCCTCCAGCGTACATAATGGGGTATTGTCATTTCCGTTGAGTCCGGTATCTTTTTGAGAGAGCAACCTCGACTGATACACTCTGCATAGTCCGTGAAGCGGTCAGTATTGCAGAAAAAGGACAGGGTTTCGCCAAACTGTGCGACGCTTCGGACGTTACAACAACACGATATGCTACGGCCGAGAACTCGTTGGAATAAGCGCCGCTTCTCAGTATGGAAAGACCTCACCTCGTACTCTCGCGACCATGACCGTAAAAGACAATTTTCTCCAGTGTAATTCATCGCTCCAGGAGGTATTCTCCACTTGGCCTAGGCTCATCCATTGGTATTCCAGCGGATTTTCGCGGGGCTCTCTCGGGGAGCGCGGCGTTTCCCTGCTTTTCCTGGCGGGTAACTCTGGGGCTCCTGAGCAATGGACAATTCTCACGAACATTCACACACACCAGGCCTGTTGATGACTTGGACTGGCCTGGCAAGACAAGAAAGGGAAATTGACATTGCACGCCCTCATCTCAGCCTTACAGATACAGCCATTTGACTAAGCACCAGCAGACGTTGAACCCCTTTGATAGGGGCCGTTTCTCAGACGAATCCGTACAACATAGTTTGGTCCAGACTGGATTTTACGGAAACGCTCTGCACAAAGCCACAAGTCTGGTCTTTCATGGATATCAGACCTGGACGACGGGTTTTACGCCATATCGCACACGCAAGTATCCGTACTCCGGACGGTTACCTCCACTGCAGATGCTAACGAAACTAGAGGTTCCCCAGTACCCTCAGCATCGCGGGGGGGGGGGGGGGTTGTTTGACTGATGCGCTGAAGGCGAACCTTGCCTTGGTTACCGCGCGGCTTTCGGGTTCTACGGGCGGAAGAGGAACAAAATCAGATACCGTCTGGTCTTCCGATGGCGCTCATCCACCCCTCCGTTCTCTCCATCGGCAATCGCGCTGTGTCCCCTTCACCCGCTGATGAGGGACGGTGTGGATGAGGGCAAATTTTCAGCCTTTTGCGATCACATCTCAACTTTTTGAGATTATTTCCCAAATTTCCTACCTAACTTGGTCGGGAGAAGCGCAGGTCATGCCGCATGGATGACAGAATGGGCTTGCTAGGCACCGGGGAAGCAGGGTGCTCGACCCGCTAACCAGGACAGGGCCACTTCGGCTCTTGCAGGCAACGTGGTTCTTCTCCCTGTACAGCTTGGGTTGAGGGAACGGACAAAGAGGCGCGTCATGGCTGAGCCGGACCAATACCTTGGAGCGAACGCTTCCAAGGCTCCTCAGCAACGAAGAACTCCTTACTTTCGCAAGTTGAACTCAACCTGGGCTCATGTCACTTATCAGATTCCAAGACGACGCATCCACTTTGCATCGCTATCTGACAGGCTCAAATTATCTCGAGAGTCCACAAGAACTTCTCTCTATGGGCCTGATATTGAACGAGATGGACTGCCAGGCGGATCGAGACGCTCAAACAACTTCATCATAATGACCAAAGTCACTTGTCAACCTTCCATCTCGTGGTTCCGCTCTATTTCGAGCCTCTTTGAAACATGGTAATACCGGCACCGCCTTCTTAAGTGGTACGCTCACGGCCGTTGAGGCACCGGTATGCTCCGAAGGCGCCGCGCTGTGATCACAATTGTCAACAAGGTCCCCTGATTTACATCACTCGAATGACAGCTGGGCGGCTTGTTAGCGAGAGAAGACGCAATGATTGATTGAGGCAAAGAGGCACTGTGGGCCACTTTTACCAGCTTTACCAGCATGCCAACAAGCCCTGATCAGGGTCCAGGGGCTTGAGACGGGTCTTGACTCTTGGGGGGACGACGGGCAGACCTGAAATCGGTGCATCTGCACGCACCGAAACTTGAACATTCCTAAGCCCATGGCTGCAAGGGGCATCTGAAGGCTCGACTCCGCCGCTCGGCCATTCGCAGACGATGGCAACTTTTCTTCTTCTGATCTCTCCACAGATCGATGGTAGCAGTTCCAGTGGACAGGGAGGGGCTGGGACAGATCACGGGAGTCTCGACTCAAGCACCTCGCCGTATGAAGGTTTGCACGAGGGAATATGGGCAGCCGGTCGGCTTAGGTATTCTCTGACTCTGACTTGGACTCTGACTTGGACTCTGACAGAGAGGCCATTTTCGTGGCGCTTCTTTTTGGCCACGAACGGTCACCTGCCTACGAATCCCAAGACTGTGGCAACCCACACCCTTCCTAGGCCCGCCTCGCCAGATCGCGGCACTGCCGATCTATGAGCTGAGGCTTCAGAGTGGCAGGATTCCAGTTCGCGGCCAATGGGAATTAGGGAGCGGTAGAACTCTCTGCACATCACCGAGATCTGATCGACTCGCGCGATGGGCGACATGACGCTAGACCTCTGGAATGTGGCTGCGCAAAATCTCTGGGCTTGGAGACTGTCAATGCCGATGGTCGCTGCTCCGAGAGCTTATTCACTACGGATATTTCTCACAGACATGATGATTCGTGGGGACGGTATAGCATCAAAAATCAGAATCAGCGGTGGCATCAGTGATCTGGCAGGGGAACAACAGACTCGACTCGCTTTCTCCTCTTGCGAGGCTGCCAAATGAGATGTGATACGGTGTGTGATTATGTTGAGGGGACCTTCGTTCGAGAGGGCGTGAGAGATGATGGTAAGTGATGGTATCCCTGACGAGTCCAAGCAGGAGTTGAGTATCTAGTGTCTGAACACCCACTAACAAAGCAGTCGATATGTGAGATATTTCAATTTTCTATGTGGACAGCCCACGAGTGGTGCGCTGTAGTTTTGGGGGGGAAAAGACTTATGGGAGCCGGAAGCCTCGTCCGAAGTACTAGCCGCTGTCGATTGACCGATGTCGAAGGGATAACCTTGTATCAAAGCCGCAGGTCAGCCGACGACATGGACGTATTAGGGTGGGCCAGCCTCATCCAGTCGCGCAAACTGGGCTTGGATGGGAATGTTTCAATCCCAAGCATCACGATGCGATATGCGAAGCCGCCTTTTCGCGCACGCATCGCCCGACCCCACCGGCAGGCATCTGGGAGTGTGATCTACGCACTTTTCCTAACCGAGACCAAGCTGGATCGCCGGGTGCTCGAGGTGACCGGGGGGAGGGGAGGTCCTCAAGAGTTTGAGGGAACCAAACCAGACAAGCTGGGAGCTATGCGACATGGGATCCCTCCCCCCCGGCGTCACAGAAGCCAGGGCCAAACCCGAGTCCAAGCTCCCAGTATCCTGGTCAGTCTAGCGATGGAAGTGGACTGTGGCCCAGATCTCGGCTCTGAAAGCTCTCTTTCGTCTCTTGTCAAGAGTCTGTGGGATGTGTGTGTGTGTGCGCTTTGTGTGGGCAGCGGCACATAGGTGGGGCTCTCTCCGATTATGACAGCCTTTTTGCTTTCTTCCCTCACATTTTCACCCTGTGTGATGCAGGAGAAATGTGAGATGTGACTGAAGGGCTGAGATCTGCCCTGACCAACATTTCGCAAGCTCTTCCATTTTGATCGCGGCCCAGCTTCCCAATCCAGCATCTCTGCGCCGAGCCACTCAGCTCTCTGGGATTCCGCAACGGAGCTTTGTGGTTCTTTGGATGCTGCGTACGGTGTATTCCCATGGAATGCGGTTCCGTACAATATCGGGAAATCTGACATGTCACTGAAGCACGATCAACCGACATGGCGGTCGATCATTCACTGAGCTGCTTGGTACACATATCTTACTCGATACCGACGGGGTCGTATAGGTCCAGACCCCTATCAGAGGTTAAAGGCACGAGATGAAGAGGGGCGGCGGCGGGGGGGATTACGGTTTCGCGGACGAGGTCGCTAGTTCAAGGCGCATCCGGCGGCCGTGGACGGGTCCGATGGGCGACATCAGTGCGACGCCCGACACGGGATCTCGACCTCCCATGGCCCCCCTTCCTGGCATCGTCGTCTGTTCGTCGTCGTCCACTCCACGACCCGGGAGGAACGGACGGGGAACCATCATCGCCGATACCACCTTCAGGCTCCAGCACCCATCAACCACCAACCACGCGAACCTTGACTCGTTCTCGCTTAAGGTGTGTCGTCTCTTTTTTCCTTTTCCATCCCGGAGGAAGAGGGGCCAACAACCTTCAATCCTTTCCTCTTATCCAGGTTCAGACTGGGAACCCCGTCACCCAAAATTCTTTTCTGCTCAAAACCCACGGCTATGGAACCCCACTGTGCGACCCTCCGTCATCAGAGAGGTCAGAAGGAGATCGCGATCCTAGGGCAGTGTAGATGCAGGTGAGGACTGACAATGCGACCCCTTTTGCTGCGCTCGCGGCGCTGCAGAAAGCAGAAAGCAATTCAACAGAGGTCCAAGCGAGGAAACTTCTATCACATTGTTCACTTTTTTTTTCTTGTTAATTCCCTCTTTATCCTTACCTGGCTCTTCAATCCTCTTTTCGCGCTATCCTCTTTGACGATGTCATTGCGAATGGCCGCCCCGCCCTATCAAGATGTTCTTTTCGCCTTTTGCCCCTGTTCCTGTTCTTGTTGACTTTCGGTTCAATGTGACCCTCTCGGGGCGCCCCTCGAGTCTTGAAAGGGGAAGGGAGGGGTCAAGAGAGAGACTCAAGACGCTCAGCTTCTGTGCGTAACTTTGATAGAACCGAGGATGGGCTCATTGTCGCCAATGTTTTGGGTTGTTGTTTTATCCTCATTCAGTCTTCAAGTGGTCCCCTCGTGGTGTAACCGTGTTACACGAGGAGATCTAACGGGACGACTTGAACTAAAGCGTAAACTCCTGATGATCTTTGGGAAGGGGGGCCAGAGGGCGCTTGCTACACTAGATATGCGACGTTGCTCGGTGCTCGGGTCCAGATTCTCCAACGTTGTCGTTGCACTCACGCACGCGTGGAGGGGGAGATACCCGGGAAGGGAAGGGAAGGGAAGGGATACAGACGAGAGCTAGGTTTAGGTGCAGGTAGGGGGTATTACTTGAGACGGACGACAACGACGACGTCCGAGCAAAGCCGCTGAGCGTCCTTTGTTCGATGTCGTCCCTTGAGATTCTGGGTTCTGGTTCTACCTGTCGATACCCGTCGTGCCATCGTCCGAGCCCTCGTGGCAAACTCTGATAGTGACGCGGAAACCACATGTCTTTTCCTTTCGTCATTTTGGACGAGCTCAACTTTTGTCTCTGGCCTCTCTTATGTCTTGCGCATCTTAGTGCGGTTTGCGGGGATCCGGGAGCTTGCGAGCGTTGGATGACAATTGGCTCCGGCACTGGAACAAGTCTGTATCAGATGACTCACGCCCTTTTGCTCTCTGAGTTGTCTGTCTCTGTCGCTTTCTATTCCGCTCTCTTGTTGTTCCCACCGCCCAACATGACCCTTACGGTTGGGTCGGGTTCAAAATGTCGCGCACAAAGTTACTGTGTTCGAGGCGCGCGATGGGAGGGGATACCATGCTTGAGTGGACTATATCGGTTCCCGCAAAAACGGGACAGGAGGGGCAAACGATCATGACCGAGACGAACGGCAAGCGCGTGCGTTTTTTTCTCCGTAGTCGCCGTCTCCAGTGTAAGTCGGAGGAGGAGGAGGAGGAGGAGGCGCGGGCGAGCGAACAAAAAAAGATGGGGGTCCACGGCACGCCGTACACGCCGTGCACACACGGGAAACAGAGCTGAGCGACGGAGTAGGGGTGATGCTTGTTCGGGGCCGCAACTGACACCACGCAAACCACGCAGCGCTCCATTTTCATCTCAAAGTCTCAACGTCTAGTAGTCAACCACAGCGTGGAGCAGCTGCGAGGAGAAAAGCTCTGCTCATCCCCCCTCGTTGGTGCCTCTCCCCTCTGTGCCTCTCTCCCCTGAGCCCTTTATTCCCTCTGTGCCCTCTCTCTCCAGCCTATCGCCTGTCGTCATTGCCCACCAAACCCCCTTGCGGATACTACCTTGGATGTATTTTTTTGCCACGCTAGAGCCCCAGGACACACTTCTGGGGTTCTAAATGTGGCCTTGTGATTCGTTCTTTGGGATTATTTGCCTCCCCTTGAGCAAGGGAGACATGTTGAGAAAGAGGTGAGCGCAGCCGTTGAAACCGTGAATGGCTGGCTGAACCTACTCTGGACCGCTTCCTCGACTTCACAGGCTGGACTCTGGGCTTCAAGGGCCCGGTACTGGAGACTTCGGACGGTATACGTGGGCAACAGGTGGGCTTGAGGGGCGGTTTAGGTAGCTGCGATGCCGTTGCCCAGCACTTCCATTCCTGTGGCTCTGGTTGGAGGAGCACAATGGGGGGAAGGGGAGAGACGCAGGTTTGACACGTTGGCAGGTCCTGTAGAGATGGAGTCATGGGCAAGGAGTAGGTCAGTAACGAGAGGAGCATGATGGGGATGAAGGGGGCGAGAGATGTCGTGCAGTTTACGGATATTTTGGTAGTCGACGGTCGAAGTCCTATCTGCACTTTCTCCATTTCTTCAGAATCATCATCATCATGACCGTAGTCATCAATCATTGTAATCTTGTCCTTGTTTCTCACCCCCCACCTCTTCCTCGCGGTGTCATATATCGTCCTGCTTGAAAGCTCCAGCCCAGCCCACACGACCTCGCGGAGCGCGGGACTTCGGATCCGCGGCCGTTGGGATAACCCCAAAAACCCAACGTGCGGGTTTTTCTGGTGTGTCCTTTTGTGACCTGTAACAACGGTGCCACTCTGATTCAGATGGAGAGTGAGTGAGGCCTGTCTCTTGGGATGTATCACTCAGTTGTAGTGTGTGTCCGTGTGTGGGCTGCGTTCCGTTCACCCTGGTTTCTTCTTCTTTGGTGAGTGTTCTTATGTCTTGAAGAAGAAGCGGTGGAACAGCGTGAGGGAGTTGTAAGACCGTAAAAGTCAGGTAGGTAGGCTGCGAGCGAGACGAGATTACCTGGGTACGCTACGTAGCTAGGGGTGGGTGTGGAAGTGGCAAGTGAGAAAAGGCTGTGAGACGTAAGAAAAGAGAGACACGATTCCAGAGACATGGTGGTCGGAGGAAGGCGGGGAGGGGAGAGATTGTGTGGGCAAAGGGGGCTCAGTCGAGTGTGAACCGCAGTGGCATGAGAAACCGAGATGTGGCCTGTTTCTTCCCTATGTCTGGGATCGGAGATGGGAGGGACGGCACGGAGGAAGAATGATGGCTAAGTCGCAGATTCGGGACTGTCCGATAGGTACAATCGTGATTACTCTCTTCACAAGAGAAAAGCCATTTAGGCATCTGGGGGGTGAGGCCCTGAGCCTGAACGTGTTTTGGGAGGCTCTGAGTGGATAATCTGTGGTGGATGGGTAGGTTGATGGCTGCTTCTTTGTGTAACCGTTACGTTGTCTACCCGCCTCTTAAGAGGGGAGTTCCGCGCTTAAGGTTGAGATATATCCCAGATAAGGTATTTCCCTAGCTGACGATGCAGTGAAGAGCATCGGCTATCTGGTCTCCATGGCGGGAGATGGGAGAACGTGCCGGCACCTCTCCTTTCTTTCCACGCTGCTCCCGTCTCCCTAGCCCCTCCATTTCCTTCGAGACTTGTTCCTGGAAAAAGGAGCGGTAGTACATCACATGTGTGAGAGTGTGTGAATGTGGATGCAGGCGTCGGTATTCATAAGTGCGTGTGTGTATGTGCGCGTGCGAGTGAGATTGACAGTTGTTCACCATGAGATCCTGCACTTTGGACCCTTTTCCCGTCCCGACTACAGTTCTATTTTCCTTTTTTTCTCCCTCTTTTTCAGAGTTTCTTGTGTTCTCGTGTTCTTGTCGTACCACGATGCCGCGGGTGCTATTCTGATAGGAGGGGATAGAGGAAATGTGGGAAAAGACCACGCAGAGATGTACGTGTAACGTTGGGCTAAAGCCGGCAAGGACTTCATAAAGGGGTCCATCTTGTCCCCTCTCCACAGTTCCCGCTCTACAAGAAGAGAGGCCTGCAGGAGAGAAGCCTCAGGGGGCGAGGAGTGAAGGACCCCTCCCCTCGCCGACGATTGGACATCCGTATCGCCTCCCCTCTACTCCCCATCTCACCACTTGTGGGATCAGGTCCCTTTTGGCGATCGAGGCGCGCGTCAGTGAGGTGATATACTGGAAGTGGTGTGCTGGCTGGACCATCGCTGGCTGGCTGGGCGGGATGGATGGAAGGATGACCTGTGTGGGATCTGCCGGCTTCCCTTTCCGCTGGGATCCGGACGTGACATGTCAAAAAGTCTCACGGCTCTTCTCGTCCGCTCATCTACGCTCCTGCCTTTCTTTGCTTCTTCTCTTTCTTTACGTACCCGTACCTACATCTGAGAACTGAGAAACGTCCCCTCGTGACTTCTGGGTGGCTTGAGGGGGTAACGGGGGGCCGGGAGGATAGACGGAACATTCCATATCAGGGTGAGATGGTGGTGGTGGTGTGTTCGGTATTTGTTCATCAGGACCTACATGCTACGCGGGAAAAGTAGCAAAAACAGAGCTGGAACACCGCTACGAGTGTCTCGTAAAGAAAGGGGCGCTGATTCCGAGGCAAGGAGGTACTTGAGTAGGGGGGGTATAGCAAGCCTTGTGTTGTCTTAGTGAGTTGTCTGTCTCGGACGTCGAATGCCGCGCCCGCTGGGAGGCGTGGGATATGTGGTTTTACTGTTTTGTGTGCCGAGCCTTGAGAGACAAATGGGATAGGAGGCGTAGATTTCGGTTCGAAGAGAAGGCTGGGCAGTGATGGCTTCTGCGATCTGGTATTTTGGATTACGACATGATCAGATCGGACAAGTGTCATTCTCAAGGAAAGATTCGCCATGTTCTGTATGCTTATGCCCGTGGTCTTATTGCTTTGGGGGAGATCAGACAGGCTGTCCTGGTGTCGAAACCCCTCACCGGCCTTCTGCACATTCGAAAAGCACAACATTCTGTCACACAGAGCGATAGCAGCGGCGTATGGAAAGCCACGTGTGAGACTTTGAATCGTGGATCGGTGTCTTCTTGTTAGCAGTGGCTTAGTGTTCTTCAACGTTGCTCGTTGACCCAACCTCGAAGCGATGGCACATTCCTCTAGGCTTGTTCATTCGCCGAGGCTTTGGTTCTGGCATGCAAGAACACTCAGACAGAGCCTTGACCTTTACCTTGAGCTTATGCTTGGAAGCCTTTGAAATAGACTACTCATAAAGTGGATCACTCATGGAGTAGGGAGGTCGATGACCGTCTTGCAGCCCCTATTCCAGTGACTTCGGTCCACGTTTCAACTTTGATATTCCATCAGCATTCACCATTGACAGATCAGTTGTGCTGACTTCTTGACTTAAGCGTGACTTTCTTCTGATTCTAATGATGTATCAAAGAACATGTAGCTACAGTGATTTAAGATCATCGCAAATTTAGCCATCTGTTGAGCCGTCTTGCATAGCTGATATAAGTGCGGCTGGTGTGATGAGCATCAAGCAAACCAGAATAACGTAGTGCATCTAAGCACAAGATTGAGACCTGTGAGAGCAGAACGTACGCCTGTTGTTTCGTCTATATCCTCTTGTCTTCATTACTTGAGTTATTTGATGGTACAGCTCTGTTTGACGATTCAATGGAGCAGGAGCGGTCGAATACCAAGAGATATGACGGATGAGATTTAATGAAACGAAACGGAACGTGAAACGAAGATGCAACAGAATTTGACTGGCCATTAAGCATTTGAGGCACCACTGACGGTGAGGAGTGATGAAGAGCAATCCAGGTCTGCGCAAAGAGTTTCACTCTTCTTGCGACTTACATGCTCAGTCGATTCACAATCGTGGCCTAGTTTAGAAAGCAGACGTAGAAAAATGCAAATCCCCAGAGTTGAGCAGTCAGGTAACGTCAACGGAACGAAGCTTGCTCGAGTGTGCTGCATAAGCCAGAGCAACTTATACACACTCTTAGGGAAGCAAGTCTGGGGCTATCCTGACATGTCAGTTGACCTCAGCGTTTCTTATTGCCGCTGGCAACGAAATAGCCTCCGTACTTACAAGTATGGGCGAATGTGGGATGAAATAGCAAACTTGAGGACACAGGCGTTGGCCACGTCCAAGGCTGCGAGAGACACAGAAGCTGCCGTTTCATGATCATCTTTCTTATTTTGTAGACTCTAAAACTATGCAGACCAGATGGCATCCCTGACATTGCACGCACGATCTTAGCCTTGGCCAT